TGGGGGTGGTGGTGGGGTACACTGTTTAATGTGGGTGGGGTGGTGGGGTACATTGTGTGGGTGGGGCGTGGTGGTGGGGTACACTGTGTGGTTGGGGTACACTGTGTGGTTGGGGCGTGGTGGTGGGGTACACTGTGTGGGTGGGGATGTCAGGGTGAGCAGTTTTACCTTGTTGTGTGAAACTCCAGCTGAACATGTGTATCCGGTCTCCTGTTCCACTGCTGCCCGCATTTCCTCAATGATCAGTGCCCCCACTGTCAGGAGCAGCTCAGGACACTCTCCGTCTTGGCTAGTGAGGGGGAGGGAGTCCAGCCAGGAGTCTAGCCCCGCTCGGCGAGCTTTCTCTGTGACAACAGACCCAGTGCGAAAGCTGTTAACAGCCAGCGGTCACAGTACAATCACACCCTGTCCCCCTCTCCCCGAGTACCTACCTCTCTGTACAGCTGGGTCTCCTGGTTGCTCTGCCTGATTGTAGGGGGAGAATCCCTCCACAAAGGTGGTTTCCAGGAGCCTGCCATCAATCCTCTGGCCCTCCAATTTGCAGCATCGCTGGTGAGCAGCAGCTGTCAGATCTACAAAGACCTCGTCGATACTGGCCCGTTCGATCACTGCAAAACGGGACATCACTGAGAGCACCTGTACACTGGCTTCTCGGTACCTGGTGGGACATGGTTCATGTAAAATAAAACCAGGAAAGGCCTTCAGAACACTTCAACAGCAACCACCTACACCATTCACGTCCCTCACTGAAAGAGGAACTTCAGGGAAAGATGGAGCATCGGTCCAGGGTCCTGGCTGTGGCATTAAACATGGGAAATCAGGCTGTGATCGGAGGTGGTCAGAGAAATGGAGCAGATTGTGAAATAAACAAACAACAGCAAATGTCTCAGCTCAGGCACACAGATCTGTGACAGACAACAACAAATCAACGCTGACTTTAGCAGCAGTGACAGCGAAGGAAGAACACACTATCCCTGCTGCAGCCTTTAGCGTGGCCAAGGGGTTACTGATAGAGGGGAACCTAGGCAATGTCTACTCTCAGAAAACCTGACGTTTCAGTTTCAGAGCCAAAACAGCAGAGACTTTCCACCAAAGTTAGTCCAGAGAGCAGCTCGGTAACCTTTATAAAACAAAGGGAGGGCGAGAGACAGGGTGAACTGAGCAGGAAGGGGAGACTGAGGAGGGAAACACGAGAGTGGGCAGGGCACAAAGGGTGTGGAGAGGAGGCAGAAAGTGAGGGGGTGGGAATGAATGGGGACAGCAACAGGAAGGAAATAGATCGGGGAGTGTGGGCCAGGTGGGGAGAGTCGGATAGGAAGGAGGTGAGAAGCATGGACTCGGGGAATGGCGGGAGGAAGGAGGTGGTGGGGGAAATGGGGAAGTAAGGAAAGGACATACTTGCTGAGATCTGCCTTGCCTCGAGCCTCAGGGATTCGAGCGAACTGAAGCTGTGGACATTTCTTCTTTGCTTCCTGACCTCGCATTCCTCTGGTCACCCCATATGCTCGCGCCTCATAGCTGACAGCAATAATACTAGAGAGAGACAGATGGAAACAGCAAAGAGATGAACTGAGCTACAATCACCCGCTCACAAAAACCTTAGCAAGTGAATGTACTGGGGGAAAGAGTACAGTAAGGATTAATGTGAATGGTCTTCAGCTATGAAGGTAGATTGGAGAAGATGGGACTGCTCTCCTCGGAGATTTGATCAACGAGAACAAAATACTGAGGGGACGAGACAGAGTGGATCGAAGAGAAGCTGTTGCCATTGGTGGAAGGATCACAGACCAGAGGCTTAGCCTCCACCTGCAGAAAGGGAATGGGTAACTACCAGACAGGTCTAGGCATGCCATTCTGTAGCCTTTCCCCCGCAAAACACAGATACTGCTTTAGATCCTGCCGAGGGAAAACGCAGCAACAGCTAAATTCACTGCACCACAGTTGGCTCTTCTGCATGCTCAGGAGAGAGAAGTACAGAAATGCAATAGACACAGGGGATTTAATTCTATGAGGAATAAAGAGGTGTTTCTATGGCCACAAGTGAGACTCCAGGATGGTATGTTGCCTCCCCAGTGTTACAGTAAAAAAAAGGGAATGTAATGCTGAAGGGTCACAAACCGAATCGTCAACTTTCCTGCTCCTCTGGTGCTGCCTGGCCTGTGTGTTCATCCAGCTCCACACTGTGTTTATCTTAAGGCTTTGGGCTTTAATGAGCTGAGCATTCACCATAAAGTGGATGAATGAATGGCACAGATAGATATAAATGGGTATGATATAGTCAGGATTACAAAGACATGGCTGCAGGGTGACCAGGGATGGGAACTAATTATCCAGCATTCTTTAGTATTTAGGAAGGACAGACAAAAAGGAAACAGCGGTGGTGTAACATTGCTGGTTAAAGAGGAAATTTAATGGAACTGCGAGGAAGGGTATTATCTCCAACAGTGTGGAATCTGTGGGTCCAGCTAAGAAACACCAAGGGAGGGAAAAAATGTTAGGTGGGGATTGTTAACAGACCCTCAAACTGTTGGACTGATGTTGGGGAAGGCTATTAAACAAGAAAGTAGAGACACGCGATGAAGGAACATCTGTAAATATGGGTGACTTGTTTTAATCAACTTTTTTTTTGAAGTAAAGGAATTAAGGGATATGGAGTTAGGCCTCTGATCAGCCATGATCTCGCTGAATGGCAGAACAGATTCGAGGGGCTGAATACTCTTCTCCCGTTCCCATAATCTGCGTATAGATTGGGCAAATCAAATCAGTAATAATACCACAAAGTAGGAATTCCTGAGGTGTATATATGATGGTTTTCTGTCCCAATACATTGAGGCACCAACTAGTGACCCTAAACTGAGCAGTGAGAAAGCAATATTTGAAAATCTCGTTAAGCAAGACCCTTTGGGGACCAGCAATCATAATACTGCAGGATTGCTCATCAATGATGTAGTTGATTCTGCAAGTTGGGTCTTGAATCTAAAGTTGGCAATGATGGAGTGAACAACATTACTTAAAGGGATGATGGCAGTAAGGCAATAAAAAACATTTAAACAGCACATGGAGGAACTGCAACAATTATTTATCCGTGTAAGGCACAAAAGTGAACCAGAAAAGGTGGCCAAACCACGGCTTACAAGGGAAACTAGACACAGTATTAGATCCAAGGAAGAGGTATATAAACTGGCCAAAAAAAAACAACAGCCCTGAGGGTTAGGAGCAGTTTTGAATTCAGTAAAGGGGGCAAAGGAATTGATGAAGTACGAGAGTGAGCTGGAAAAGCTCAGCAGGTCTGGCAGCATCTGTGAAGAAAAAAACAGAGTTAATGTTTCGGACCCCGTTCTGAGGAAGGGTCACCAGACCCGAAACGTTAACTCTGATTTTTTCCTTCACAGATGCTGCCAGACCTGCTGAGCTTTTCCAGCAACTTCTGTATTTGTTCCCGATTTACAGCATCCACAGCTCTTTCAGTTTTTACGAGAGTCGGCTGGCAGGCAACATAAAAACTGGCTATAATAAGGTAATGTGAAGAGAAAAACTATTAGTGAAGACAAATGTAGGGCCCTTACAATCATAAACAAAGAAATTTATAATAGATATCAAAGAAATATGCGACAAATTAAATACACAGTTTGGTTATGAATCAGTCTGAGAAACATTCGCTGCACTCCTTCCTTCGCCAGAACATCCTTCCTCACGTGAGGAGATCAAAACTGTACACAATACTCCAGGTGTGGTCTCAGAGGCCCTGTATAACTGCAGGAGACATCTGTACAGATTACCTGCTGTACCTGTGTACTAGATGTCTGTATTTTGTGCACAAATATCCCCCAAATCACTTAATGCTGCAGCTTTCTGCAGTTTCTCCCCATTTAAGTAACACTGTTCTTTTGTTCTGCCTTCCAAAATGCACAATTTCACATTTTCCCACATTATACTCCATGTCTCACAACCTGCCTTTCCACTTACTTTTGTGTTATCTGTAAATTTGGCTACAGTTCATTTACTTCCTTCCTCCCAGTCATTAATATATATCGTAAAACAGATGCTGTGCCAGCACTGATCCCTATGGAACCCACTGGTTACAGGTCACCAACCTGAAAAAGATCCCCTTATCTCCACTTGCTGTTTCCTGCCCATAAACTACATCCACTGGCTCCCCCTCTTCAACTCCAACAGTTACATCCTCAGAGAATTCCTGGAGATTTGTCAAGGATGATTTCCCTTTCATAAATCCACGCTGACTCTGTCCAGTCCTGTCACTGTTCTCTAAGTGCTCAGCTACTGAATATCTTTTATAATGAACTCTAGCATTTTTTGCACTATTGACATCAGACTAAAGAAAGACCAAAACAGCTGCAGATGCTGTAAATCAGAGACAAAAACAGAAATCGCTGGAAAAGTTCAGCAGGTGTGGCAGCGTCTGTGGAGAGAAATCAGCATTAACATTTCAGGTCGAGTGACCCTTCCACAGAACTCCAGTTAAACAATTAAATAAACAGTTTAAAATCCATAGGAACTGGGGCGGCATGGTGGCTCAGTGGTTAGCACTGCTACCTCACAACGCCAGCAACCTGCGTTCGATTCTACCCTCAGTCACCTGTCTGTGTGGAGTTTACACATTCTCCCCATGTCTGTGTGGGTTTCCTCCCACAATCCAAAGATGTGCAGGTTAGGTGGATTGGCCATGCTAAATTGCCCATAGTGTTCAGGGATGTGTAGATTAGGTGGGTTACAGGGGGATGAGTCTGGGTGGGATGGTCTGAGGTTCGGTGTGGACTTATTGGGCCGAATGGCCTGTTTCCACACTGTAGGGATTCTATTCCAGGGTCTACAGAATCTTGGCAGATGACACCAATGCATCTACTTTTTCAAGGTTCTCTTCCTGAAACCCTCTGGGATGTAGATTATCAGGCCCTGGGGATTTATCAGCCTTCAATCCCACCAATTTCCCCAAAAATATTTCTCTACTAATATCGATTTCCTTCAGTTCCTCCCTCTAACTATACCGTGTTCCCCAACATTTCTTGGATATTATTTGTATCCTCCTTTGTGAAGGCAGAAGCAAAGTGTGTATTTAGTTGGTCAGCCATTTGTTGCTTCCCCATTATAAATTCCCCCATTTCTGACTGTAACAGAACTACATCAGTCTTCATTAATAATAAGCATCTGTAAAAGATGTTTCATGAATCCAAGCCCTCAGAAGTGGTGGCAGGGATCATGTGAGGCCAGGTCAGGCTGTAACACAGGAGGCCACTCAGCCTCTCATCCCTGTGCCAGAGGAGGAGGATGCTCAGCCCCTTGATTCTTTAACACAAGAGGACGCTCTGCCCCTTGATGCTGTGATAATACCCAGGTTTGGGCTGAAAAGTGGCAAATAACACTCGTACCACACAAATGTCAGGCACTGATCATCTCCAACAAGAGACAATCTTAACTACCATCCCTTGACATTCATTCATATTACCATCACTGAATCCCCCACTATCAATATCCTGGGGGGGTTACCAGTGACCAGTCCAGGTAATGACAATGCTGTTGGTCTGGTCTGATAATGTAGATTTGATAGATATACCCTCCTCCCTGCCAGGTCTTGTACTGGACCACAGCACACGGCTTGCCCCTCAGCTCGGGGTTGTTCTTCTGTTCCACTTGGACATAGAAACAGTCCATATCGACCAGGGCCACCACACGTTCCTGTCCACGAATCACCATCATCATTAGCAGCAGCGACACCAGCCTGGGGAGTGCAAACAGCACGATCAGAGACAGCAGGACTCAGTACAGCTTCTATCTCCTTCCCAAACTCCAACCTCATCGTCCCCCAACCCCACACCGCCCGCTTCTATCTCCTTCCCAAACTCCAACCTCATCGTTCCCCAACCCCGCACCGCCCGCTTCTATCTCCTTCCCAAACTCCAACCTCATCGTTCCCCAACCCCGCACCGCCCGCTTCTATCTCCTTCCCAAAATCCACAAACCTGAATGCCCTGGTCGACCCATTGTCTCCGCCTGCTCCTGCCCCACCGAACTTATCCCCACCTATCTGGACTCCATTTTCTCCCCCTTGGTCCAGGAACTCCCTACCTATGTCCATGACACCACCCACGCCCTCCACCTCCTCCAGAACTTCCAATTCCCTGGTCCCCAACACCTCATCTTTACCATGGACGTCCAGTCCCTATACACCTGCATTCTCCATACAGATAGCCTAAAGGCCCTCCGCTTCTTCCTGTCCCGCAGGCCCGACCAGTCCCCCTACACTGACACCCTCATCCACTTAGCCGAACTCGTCCTCACCCTCAACAGCTTCTCTTTCAATTCCTCCCACTTCCTACAGACAAAGGGGGTGGCCATGGGTACCTGCATGGGCCCAAGCTACGCCTGCCTCTTTGTAGGTTACGTGGAACAATCTCTCTTCTGTACCTACACTGGCCCTAAACCCCACCTCTTCCTCCGTTACATTGATAACTGTATCAGCGCCGCCTCGTGCTCCCACGAGGAGCTCGAACAGTTCATCCACTTCACCAACACCTTCCACCCCAACCTTAAGTTCACCTGGACCATCTCTAATACCTCTCTCACCTTCCTGGACCTCTCTGTCTCCATCTCGGGCAACCATCTGGAAACCGATATCCATTTCAAGCCCACCGACTCCCACAGCTACCTAGAATACACCTTCTCCCACCCACCTTCCTGCAAAAATGCCATCCCCTATTCCCAATTCCTTCGCCTCCGCCACATCTGCTCCCAGGATGAGGCATTCCACTCCCGTATATCTCAGATGTCCTCGTTTTTCAAAGACCGCAACTCCCCCACCTCAGTGGTCAAGAACGCCCTCCACTGTGTCTCCCGCATTTC